GATCTCCTACATCCCTTCCAAGTGGATGGCAGTGGTAGCTGGGCACCATCTAGTTCTTCTGGTCTCATAGTTGTATAGGTTGCAGATCGGATTCAAAAATGTTTTAAGAAATAAACAAATAGCATCTATAAAACAAGGATGGGAGAAAATGTCCAGATAAAATAACAGAGTGCTATGGAGTTAGAGCACATGAGAAAGAATTAAGATAAATGGAGACTACAGTGAGAAGCTCTGACACTTTTCTGAGAAGAGTTTCAGCAAATGAGACTAGAAAGAATGGTGGAGAGGTAATGGCACAGTACTCAAAGAGAAAATGGCAACATTAGGTCCAGACAGGTAATACCTAGATTTAAGGAGATCAGATCTTAGGAATAAGGAACACAGGCTGGGTAGAAAACTATGAAGCAAGGGTCTAAGGGACTCAAGTCAAAGCATTCAGACAGAAAGAAGTCAGAATCTAGGTATGGGATGAGAGCAATAGAAGTAGTCATTTATGAGTATGGAATGTTATGATTAGACAAAGAATTTTTAGCCATGGCTGGAATACATCTGAATATTAGTGGACCCAAGCTGATAAGTAGGAGCTCTGGTAGCATAGTGGCTAAAGCATTTGACTGCTAACCAGAAGGCTGGCAGTTCAAACCCACCAGCCACTCCTCGGAAGGAAGGTTGGGCAATCCTACTTCCGTAGTGATACTGACTCGGAAACCCAAGAAGGGGTCACTATGAGTCGGGGCCGACTCGACAGCACATAACAACAACAACAAAATCATGTTGAAGGTGGTAGGGCTACTGTCACCCTGAATTCCTGAAAAATTTCATGGAGCAGAGCTGTTACTAACCCAAAACCCCTGCTCTGGACCAAAGAAACAAACTTCTTGTCCTTTAAGGAACTGAATTTTGAGATTCTATTTGATTCTGTGGAGTCCCTGGGTGGCACAAATACTTAAGTACTTAGCTACTAACTGAGAGGTTGGTAGTAGTTTGAATCCACGCAGAGGTGTCTTGGAAGAAAGACCTGGGAACCTATTTCCAAAAGGTCACCAAAAACCCAAAATAAACCCATAGCTAATGAGTCAATCAACACTTAGCAATTCTTTAGGACAGAGTAGAACTATCTCATAGTATTTCCAAAGCTGTAAATCTTTACAGAAACAGACTGCACCATCTTTCTCCCATGGAGGAGCTGGTGAATTCAAACTGCCAGCATTTTAGTTAGCATCTGAATGTTTTAACCACTGTACCACTAGAATTCTTCCAAAGGATCACAGCCAAAGATAACCCTGTGAAGCACAGTTCTACTAGGAAACACGTGGGGTCCTCATGGGTCAGAATCAACTCAACGACAAAAGATAGATTTGTTTATATAACTTGTTGTTGTTGTTGTTGTTATGTGCCGTCGAGTCAGCCCCGACTCATAGCGACCCCTCCTTGGGTTTCCGAGGCAGTATCACTACGGAAGT